TGCATCTCCCCTCTCGTTGCCCTGAGCACCGTTTCTGAATCCTGATGAAATACGGAGAAGAAAAACAAAGTTAAGACCAATAATCAATCATTGCTGCTTCTAATTACATTCTGCCTTCACCGGCTCGGCTGTAACTGAATCAAGCAGCATTACGAGACGCTGAAGTGCATCAGAGACCAGCTCATCCCTCCGGATCTCCATCGCGATGACGCTGCGGATGTAAAGCTCCCCTTGAACTCCTGGTGGCGTTTTGAGGAGAGCGGCTCCACGCAATGAAGGATGGACTGACCACGCGCCGCCTGATATCACCTCCGCTCTTCATTCGAGCTTCATGTAGGTCAACCGTGGTTTAATCACATCGCACACTTACGCGATGCCGCGTGCCGCCTGCGTTTTAATCCCCCTCTCCTGCGGGTTATGAGTCACCGGCTGAGATGTAGGTCAGCGTTAAACTCGGGCCCCAAATGCAACGCGGCAAGGCGGAGGCCCGTGGGATGCAGGGGAGGTTGTGTATCGTACGTCGTGTGGGAAGTCTGTGTAAATATAACGACGCTGCTCGTGAGGCTCAGTGGCTGCAGATGGATTGGTACTAAAAAAACAGGAAGAATTGATTTCTATCTGTTGCAGTAAAAGATTATTACTCACAAACAAGATGCGGGCGAAGAAGAGGAGGCTCCTTCGAAACTGTGTGTGTGTGTGTGTGTTGATCTCCTGACTCCATCATCCTGAATCTCGTCTGAAGATCTTTTTGTTGACAAGGAGACAGACAGAGGAAGAGGAGGAGGAGGAGGAGGAGGGTGACGTGAGAGGAGCAGGTGTGAAGGGAGCCGATGGATTGACCGGAGGGACGGAGACGCGTTCGTCCCGGGTGTTGATTGTTGTCCTTCAAGGCACACAAATAAATAATAGACACACGCTGCTCAGAGACACAAAACACAGCAGAAATAAACAATAGAAATGAAGCAGGTGTGTGTGTGTGTGTGTGTGTGTGTGTGTGTGTGGAGAAAGCTGGACAGATAAATTATGACAGAAAGGCAGTAATTACTGACATAATTGCAAGTGACGGCACCGTAATCCTGATTTACGGAGACGAGGAGAGACAGCGTCTGCGTGAACCCGCATGAGCTAAGCTCCCCGAGCAGATACCACCCGATGAAGGCCGAAGCGTCGATCGGATCAAGAGGAACAAGTGGGCCGTCTCGTGTGCTGACAGAACACAGTGAAAGCAGCACGCTTACAAACTGGTTCCAACGCGGCAACAGAAATCCGTCATTTCCACGCAGGTGAGCAGCTGACTGGAGCTTTAAAGCGTCACGCGCGCAGAAGAAGAACTCGGAGGTCGACCGTGATGACGACAGAAATCGCCCTGCTTCGTGTCTCTGTTTTATTTCCTGGGCTCAGTCAGCGCTGGTGACTCGTTTCTGTGAGGTCACGGGTTTGATTACACAGCCACGTTGTTTGGACCCGCCCGTCCCCGTTGGGACAAACGGTCAACGTCCACCTCGAGACCCACCGTCTCCTTTGGGACAATCTGCAAATCAGAATCAACGCTGCACCTTTGTGGCTTCGTGGCTGATGTTTGCTGGATGTGTGTGTGCGTGTGTGTGTGTGTGTGTGTGTGCGCCACTAATGGGGATCAGATCAGTCAGCTTTTTATGAAGCTGACTTTTATCCTGAATGAGGGAAAGTGGAGCACTGAAGGATTATTATTATTATTATTAGGAGTCTTTCATGGTGGCGTCATGAAGAAAACTCTGCATGAAAGAAGGTTTCATTTACATGAGACCACATGAGCTCTAAAAAGGCTTTTTCTTGGCTTATAATTAGTATATCAGCTGCCTATTGACACGGGCAGTGAATCAGACACGTCTGGTCAGTAACTCAACACACACACACACACACGATGTGCAGCACTGATTGACACAGTCGACATAAATCACAACCTGAAGGCATCAGATAAGAATGTTAAGACCTCGGGAAGAAGACGAGACACGAAAGCCAACCATCGATAAAAACCTCAACTTCCTTTTCATGTCGCCATCTTCCTGTTTCTAATCATAACGCAACCCACACAAAGCCACAATGGCTGCACACGCACACACACACACACACACACACACACACACACCATCCATGGCTTATCTCCTGCTCAGAACACAGGCGGTTTCCAGGATGACACGTTGAGCGTTGAGCAGGTTGCTGACTGGGTTTGAAAATCCGCCTGTTAATGATTCTGTCAGACTTCATACAAGCGATCAGTCACATTCAAGCCGCAGCCTTTCAAACGTTTACTCAGAGTGTGGATTTATTGCTGTGGCTGCAGGGATCGTTTCTAACAGCAGCTTCTCATGAGCCTCCGGACAGCCGATAAACACTTCTAAACAATTCATATAATAGAAAATAAAAACAGGCATTAAGTTCACTTAAGATGAATTACATAAGCAGGTAGATCTTGTTACGGTGCAACGAGGAAACACTGAAGGTACAGAATCAATAGAGTGATATTAAGAGTCTAATCCAGTGAAGTCTGTTCAGCCTCTGAAAAGCATCGTTTACACAAAAAACATGTTTACAGGATCAACAACATAGATTTATTTACTTCCAATGTGCATTTCAGCTGCTCATCAACACGTGTGCTCGCACACAGACACGCCTGGGCAGTAACGCAACACAACGCACACAAATCACAATTCCAAGGTGTCAGATGTAAATATTAAACCTTGAAACGAAGGCGAGACATCAATAAATCCTCTGCTTCCTCTTGGCGTCGCCATCGTCCTGCTTCTAATCATCGAGCACACGATCAAAGTGCGACATTCAGCCTCAGAACGTGCGCGCGGTTTGCTGGATGTTACGTTTGAAATCGTCCACTAACGACCAGCCGGGACTCGAACGTGCTGCTGTTTTATTGCTGCATCGTCTTCAAACAGAAACACGTTTTCTTCACAGTTCCAGGTGTTAATTAGAAATAATAAAGAAAGAAAAAAGAAAAGAAAAAGGCTTCCTTTCATGAATTATATCAGCGAGGGGATCTTAGAGTTGTACTGCGATAAAAGAAGGCCGAGGCTTCCCTAAAGGTACCCGACCAATAGTGATGTTTAGTTTAATCTATTTGTAGTTAATGGGCTCAGACTCATTATGGAGCTTTAATCTGCTTCTTCACTCAGTTGTATTAGAAGTTATTAGATCGAAACACATTAAAGACTAATTGATAACAAAAAGGCCAGAATTTATTATTCAACATGACTATGATTGAATGAACGACTGTGAAAAAAATAAAACCGACGACACAAATCCACATTTATTCATAAAAAGAAAACCACACAAAAAACAAAATAAGTGATTCAAATGAGAAACACACACAACGGCCTCCCGAGTGCTGCACCTCGTCTTCAGTTACAAAGTGTCCTTTGGGAATAACAGAGTGAGCATCAGCCACCTAATAGTCAGAGGGTCGGGGGGGTCGGGGGGGCCTGTTCATATTCTGGTCATGTGTCACCTCGCAGCCGAGGCTCTTCAACACAATGAATGTCTCTCTGCTCCCCTCCCTCTCCCTCCCTCCCCTCCCCTCCCTCTCCCTCCCTCCCCCCCTTCACTGTCTTAACACCATTACGGGGATAATTTGCAGCTTCCAGCGCGTGAGATGATTTTTATCTTATTATTATTATGTTATTATTATTCCACCAGTAGGAGTTATGCAGATTTGGCATATTGTGCATCCACACAAACGCACAATAAAGAGCCTCCCTTTTGTCAAAGTTCTTTTTTTTTTTGGGAAACACACACATTTTCTCTCACAAAAGGCAGATGGAACAAGATGATCCCGAGACTAAAATAGAAACAGAAAATAGGGTAAAAAGGAAAAGAGGAGGATATTTTCGAGCAAAGGCAGAGAACACCCCTATGGGCTTCAGAGAGCGGACACACACACAAACACACACACACAAACACACACACACACACACACACACACGCACCGAGACAACGGGCGTACACACTGAAGGACGCCGGCCAAGTTTAGTTTCTGTGTTGTGCTTATTCTTTCCTCGTGGATGTTTTCTAAAAGAAAAGGTGATCACATGGTGCCTCATGTGATCTTCAGCTTCTGCTTGGTTGGTTTTTTATTTCAAGGCTCTCGATAAAAAATAAATAACTGAGAAAAAAAAATCATAAGTTATTTCTAATAACTAAACTAATCACTTCCCATAATGCAACTCAAGCATTTCCTGCCACACTGTCAGTGTGTATGGTTACCGTGGTTACGCGTCTCACAGCTCTCAGGGAGTCAGAGTCCGAACAAATGCGCTCGACTGTTTGTTCACACCGAAGTACGGCGAAGGACGCGGAACACAGAGCGCGTAGATCATGATGGATGACAGACAGATGCACAGCAACCATCCGACCAGCGACACTTTAATCGCACTCAGACTTCCTCATTTTCACACGTTTTTTAGCGATGAATCAGCGATGAGGTCGTTTGAGGGGACGCGTTCTGCCTCACTGACGTTTATACAAACGTGATAAAAGGTGAAGAGGTTCAAACGGTGCGACGAAACCGTCCCACACAAATAGATTTAATAAGATTAGAAGTGACAAAGGGTGTGAAAACGTTTGACTGCTACAGTATAAATGGTTAACTAATTATATCTTATAGACTAATCCACTGTGTGTAAAGAAATGAAGCTGGAAGTACAAACTAATGAGCTCCTTAAAGAGAACACAGTGAGCGGCTCACACTTCTACGACAATTAAACCAATTATACTTCACATTAAATGGGAAAACAGAGTAAATGTGCAGGTTGCATTCGAACGGAACTGCTGGGTCCAAGATAAGGCGCTTGTGTGTGTGTGTGTGTGTGTGTGTGTGTGAGGATCCACTTTCTACGTCCTCAGAAGAAGAAGATAATTGAACAAATACTTCCCATAACGTTCAGGAAACAAACGCTGGACCACCTGTGACATCACAGCCGGACTGAAATCAGGAGACCAGAGGAGGGATATTGGTTTAGAATCTCATATCCTGTTTTATTGTTCAAATATAGCAGAGAGATATAGAACACGGTACAATAACACCCCCCCAACCAGGGACAGATGGAAAGACCAACAGAAAAGACTCATTTGTACAGACGTTGGAGAACGAACACACACACACACACACACACACACACACACACACACACACACACACACACACACACACACACACACACACACACACACACACACACACACACACACACACACACACACACACAGAGGACAGTCGGTCTATTAAAGGGGACGTTAAGGAGATTAAGGATCCGGTGACAGTAAAAGATCACAACGCCAACGTCCACCTGGAGACACAATTCCCCCGTCGGCGACGCCTCACCGAGCGGCTCTCACAGGGATCGGCGCACATCTGCTCCACATCTGTTCCGCTCACACCGGTTTGCACTAGAAGCAGGTTAAACCTCACGTGGCAGGATTGATTTTTATGACCCGGGTGAATTGTGTTTCCCGGCGGACGTTTCAGCTGCAGGTTTTCAGCTGCAGCCTCACAGCCGGCTTTAAAATCAAGTTATACAGCAGTTACAGAAAAGAAATATTCATTTGTTTTTGTGACTTAAGGCCACTTTGAGCAGAGAGGATTTAAATTAACTACTTTAAAAGGTGAAAGCAAACATAATTTTTTTTAAAAGAGCAAATTCATCATTGTGCTTTTATCAACTTTTAAAGCAAACACTCTTTTTCTCATTTCAAAATAAAACATTTTCGCATGCAATCTGTTTCTTTAGGAGGGACAGCGACAAATCAAACATAATAGCACGAAAGGATGAAATAACATTTAATGTGAGAGTGAACCAATTGCTTTTCATTGTCTTGCTGTCAGACCTTCATTCCCCCTGTGGACACATTTCATGCCCTTTGGGGTCAAACGTCATTTTCGAGCTCAACAAAAGAGAAAATGGATGGAAGACACTGAAATCAGGAGGCGGAGTGTTTTCAGCCGACAGCGGTGAACCTGCCCGACGCCGCTCGGCTGTGTACGGTACTACAAAATAAAAGCTGAGCGCTCCCGGTGGACTCAAACAGCACGGCTACGGGCTGCGGTAGAAACTCTAGGCCATTTATGGATGATTACAACACAAAATAGATCACGCGTGCTGCCGCCTCCAATCAATCACGGAATAGAGAGCGTAAACAAAGTTGTCATTTCTCATTCATTTATAAACGATTAGGCAGGAAGCAGAAGTTATGCAACGAATGCCAGAGCATAATCGCAGTAATAACAGCCTGCCACATTAATGGAGCGAAAATGCTTTTTTGGCAACTTAGTAGTGTTTTGTTGGAGTGTTATTTTATCATTAGCGTCACCAATCAAGTGTCTCAAGTTCATTCTAGTTAGTGCCTTTAGCAGAGATGAGGTAAAGTGATGGAGGGAAGCCGTTGATCAGCTCCCACAAAACGTCAATTCATACAGAATCCATGCTTGAGTTGGTGATTGTCACGTTCAGGTTATTTAAAGAATAATTCTAAATGAGTGTATGAGAGGCCAGATGATGAAGACAGCGATGAGGTTTGGGATGCACACGGACACCTCGCGTAAAAAGGGAAAAAGTGAGCCCAGGATCAGCCAAAAGTCCCACATCTCCAGTCCGTCATCCGAGCTCTTTGAGTAGATTAGTCACCATTTGTAGATGAAGCCACGTGAAAAGTAAACGATTTGCTTCGTCTCAAAGAGTTTAGGATTTTGGAACATCTATTATTGAGTGCACGTTACTCTATAAATGGCAGATCGAAGGGAATCCTCTGGCGTCTCCAGGAGGGACAGCGGCCGAGGGGACGGCGTCCTCGCCGCTCGCTGTAGTGGGTTTACTGTTGGGATGTTCGCCTGAACTGGAGCTACGTTATCCGTTAGCCGCGTTAGCTAGTCAGCAGGGGGACGAGTGACCCGTCGCCCTGGCTGATGTTTTCTGGGCGGCTGCTCGGTCGGTCTCTGTACCTCAGGCCGATGATGTCACTTCCTGCTGGCTGTGGCGGCGTTAGCTGTAGTGTCCGCCTTCGTGGCGAGTTCCTCAGTGTCTCCTGGGGGCTGCGGCGGCGTGGCGTTAGGCCCGCCCCCATTTTGAAGACTTTCTTGTTTGTACTGCAGCAAGGCTCGACTGACGGCGTCCTCGACCAATCGCCGGCTCACCCTCAGGAGCTCCGCCTCGTCGGGCTCAGACCGGCGACGCCCACCTGGGTTGAACAAGCACAGGAGGATTTGATGAGAAATAATCACAAGAACTGGTCACGTGACCAACGGAGGTCCGTCGTTTGGCTCCATCAACACGAGTGTAAAACATGGAATCATCGTCCCACATCCAGCGCCATCCCGTTATTATTATGAGCTCCTAATGAATCTCGTTCTTCTTCCTGTGTGTTCAAAATGAAAATAACTATTAACGCGAAAATGCTAAATGAGTCTCACTCACCAGTCTGTTGTTGCTGGATTCAGACTGACAAGTCGAGCTGATAATAATAATCAGCTCTTCTATACGTGCCGGTTGGATTTAATCAACCTCCTGGAGTGAAAGTCTCCAAAGAATCAGACAAACGGAGAGACGTACGAGGCACGAAGCGAATGACTCATGTGGGAAGAGGTTCAGAAACACACCGTGATCCTCTTTGATGAGCGCGGCCACGAGCAGTTTGTGGCTCTTATTTCTCATGAAAGGAGACGGCTGAAGCCAGCGAGCTAATTAGTTATATCCTTTATGGAAAGTGCAGATTTTTCTACATTGTGTCCTAGTTTTCTTTTCTACTCACTGTTTTGTAACTTTTTGTTATCGCCTCATTTTTTACTATTTGAATCCTTCCTCCTCGATGAGTTTTTAAAGCTACTAGTTGACAATTCAGGCGACATTGTACTTATTTCAGGGATAAACCCTGACATGTGGGGTTCATGAGGGCTCCACGCTGCTATCGGCGGTGACGTCTCAGCGTTGAGTGTCGCTGTATCGGTGAAACGCAGCCGGCACGCGCGACACGTCGAACCAGAAGGGACGGTGCAATCCGTCACCTCGCTCCCTTCAGCTCCACCGTCTTCTTCCTCCGCTGAGTTGATTTGAACGCGTCGCTCTGCTGAAGTACGTTGAATTCGCGGTTTATCGAGTTGTGCTTTTCCCGGAGAACTGGGACGCGATTCGATTGCGGACCGGCCGTCGGGCTGCAGCGCTTCCACATCCTCTATGGTTCACACGCAGCAGTACGAGGGAACCCTCACGCGCAGTGTCATCTGGTGCTATCAGACCGGTTCAGAGACATTTAACCATGAACACCTGGCTCTTGTTTACTGTAAAATAAATGGGGCGTGTTCCAGGGGAGCCCGAAAATGTGTGAGTCGCCGTCTACGGATCCTACGCGCAGCTTTGACCAAAATCCGGGATCCAACCGGAGGAGTGAAGCGACCCTTCGGAGGCCGGACTTCGCGGTTGCGCTGCACAGATCGTGTTTACATCTGGCCGAGATCCGATTGTGCTGCAACCCGACCGCCTCCAGATGTGGTCCGGCCTATCAGACAGTCTTTCTGTGCAAACACGTGAGAGGAAAATATGAGCCAGTGAAGCTGTTGCGCTCAAAATGTTTAGGGCTTTAGATACAATTACTCATTGACTGGAAGTGATGTGATAGTGAATCGATCCCTGTAAGGTGGAGGGAGCTACAGCGGGGGGGGGGGGGGGGACAAGACGCCAGCTAATACAAGAGCATCCGGCAGCACGTTTAACGGGCTTCTCCACCACTTCCTTTTTGGATCCTTTAGATTTGCTGAATTTAAACTGATGAGTGCTGCTGAGAGATGAGAAATGTGAATAAGTACTTTATAAAATACTGATGAGCAAATCTCCAGATGTGTCCAGATTCCCTCAATAGGAGGAGAGAAGCAGTCCGTTGATTACATGCCCACTTTCATCATTTCATCAATATAATCACATCATTAATCATCCTGAATTGTTCTCTGCGATGACCCGAGTCATTTCATGTAATTATGCAGTTTTGCATTTGATTTGGACCCGGTTCTGATTGGACCAGGAAACATGCTACGGAGGAGGACACATACTTGACCGTCTGGCCCGGAGAGGGTTCACATCTGGAAAACAAAACACGGAATGTTAAGACGAAGCCACCTTTTCGCTGTCTCGTGGATTTCATACACCCTGCGCAGCCATCACAGTCCCTTTTGTCTGTCGCCACGAGCGGGACACTTTTAAGAGACGACCTGCAGGGATCTTCCAAGATGAGGTTTGGACCCCACGGCTGAAACGAACGCACAGAACGAAGCGTTCGCATCCAAAGTCCACAGGCGGTCAGACTGCTAAAAGCTGGCAGACTCAGCGCTGCACAGGCAGAGTGCAGGTGTGCACTTTACACGGCATCACTTATTACACAGGTCTGCTTTTTTTAAATATTACTCGCCGGAACATTTTTATTCCGAAAGGTTGACAGAATGCAGACGTGAACGAACATAGAAAACGTCCCTCAACTCATCTCCTCTTGTTCAGATATAATGGATCCAATAAACCATTACGTCATCTTGACCCTGTTTCCAAGGAGGTGTCAGAGGTCGCTTCTGTGTCTTTTCTATCTGCTCAGTCGCTGCTGGACACACACACACACACACACACACACACACAGACACACACACACACGTCTTTTTCTCAACATGCGTGTGCGTCTCACGTATCTTCACTCTCACACGATCGTCTGACTCGTACTCTGTGCTCCCTTTGTACCACTGCCTATTGATTTTTATCCAACACTCGCTCTGTACTCGTTGAGCGGCGGTGTTGTCATGGCGACGGGATGAGGACCAGACATTACAACCTCCGGTATTGTTAAAAGTTGAAGTGCCCAAACGTCCCTCTCTTCTCCTGAGTTTGCGTGAGCTCTTCGGTTTGACGTTTCTTATTCTTGCGCCCTGCCGCCTCGTCGACAACATATTTACTGACTGGTGTGTCGCAAGGCTCGTTTTTAAAATATCGCTTTTAATTTCTGTGCGTGGGCGGTTATCGTTTAGCCTCTGAAAGCTGCCGCTGTGTATTTTACATAAGAAAAAGGAAGCAAAATCATCACTGAATTTAGTGAAGACCAGAGTTATTTTTGTATTAGACGGATGTCTAGTCACAATATCAGTATATTGCCAATCTGATATATTAATGAATTATCAAAAGGTGATTTATATGTGCAGAATTCTGATTCTTTGTTTGTTGGTTTGCATTGACGTCGCTCCCATGTGGTGCAAACCAAGCCAATTAGTAGCTTCTCCTTAAACCCATTAGGTAAGTCCAGGAGACGCTGTCTTTTGTCCCACAGCAATAGCTCACAGATTGTATTTCCATTACCGTCTTAGCTGTGCAGACATGCTAGCGACACGGCTTAGAGTCCGGTTGTATCGTCCCAAACAGAGACGCAACTAATGATCTTTTTCTTTACAGCTGCTAATCGCCTCCTTGGACTATCGATGCTTGTGTCAAACAAGTCCACCGCTATTCAGAAGCCGCGGCGTCTTTAATGGGTTTGCTTTGTGGAATTAAGGCTCAATTAAGAGTTGACTGGTGTCGTCTCTGCTGGGATATATGTGGCGCAGCGTAAGAAGCCTCTAACGTCATCACCTCAAACTTACTCATCTCGCTTCCTCCACATAACTAATGGTCCAATTCCTGCTGAAGTCTTCCAAACAACTTAACACAGACGCGTCTGAATACTTTAGCGCTTTGCGGCGTGACGATGCCACGCGAGCACCTCTCATCCACATGCGGTAACAAAAGGACGCTCAACTAAACGAGAGACCTGAATCCAAGTCGTTGGACACATCGGATGGTGTTGTACATACGGCACAATAATCTGCTGCTGTGACTCATTTCATCTCGCTCTAAAATGAGCAGGTTTTTGTGACATTCCACGGTCGCGGTGTGGGCAGATAATTAATGCAGCATATCTGGTAAGAGGAGGACGACGAGGGCGTGAGGGAAGGAAACGGGCAGATGAAGAGGAGGAGAAGAATCCGGAGAAGATGGACCGCACAACATGGAGGCTGACCGCAGAAGAGGCAGATGGAAAATGAAAGAGAAAAATAAGGGAGGGCGTGTTTTTAAGGAGGAGGCGGGAGAAACGGGGACGGACGGGGCGTGTGGGACGGGAAGAGTACTGAAATACGTTTCCTGAGGAAATGCCGGAGAGTCTCTCAGTCACAAGATGCAGCCTGCAGAACTCGAAGCCACTGACAGCAGCGCCGCGTGGATGCAGACAAAACAGAGACTAGTTTGGGTTCATCAGATAAATACGTGCACCGAAATGATGACCAGGATGTTTTTGTGCTGAGAAGTGACCTTAATAGAGATTAATCTGGTTAATTCAGCTTTTGGCCAGGAGGTAGAAATCAACCTGAGCTGAAGCAGCTGATTCTGCAACTCAAACATTCCCTAAAAAGCATCCGAATTAGTCCGCATTCCTTTTAACTACATTCCTGACAATCTCTTCTTTGTGCTGAAACAACGGCATTCTGGGTGTTGGCGAGTCAGTTCTATTTCACCAGCGCACCGATGAGACAATTTCACGGCTGATATTTTCCTCAATGGAGATGAATGTCATCAAAGCTCCATTTTCTCCTCCGTCATCTCTCAGCGAGCCCGAAGGCCTCCACGTGTTTTCATTATCCCGTCAAATTACTTTGAAGGCATAAGAGGGGGATGAGCAGCTGATACTCAGCTTTCATAACACACCGACACGCAGAGTAAGTGAGTTTGGAAATAATAAAAACATCTGCATGAATCAGTCTTTTCATGATGACAGAATCCACAAAAAAAAGATTTAGAAAATATCATTTACGCTTTTATTTATTGTAGCTTGGCAGTAAATCAAATTGTCCCCCAGAATAAGTCCATCAAGTCCAAACTAGACTCTGAGGAAGATGAGGAGACATCGTCCAGTTCAATATACAATAGATCTTGTGTCACAACTGTAGCCTTTTTTTTGCCCTCATTTGTTTTCCATAAGGAAACAAAGAGGCAGACGTTCGAGCCGTGCAGCTGGACAGATGTTTGACTCGCTGCGCTTTGGCCGGAACACGCAGGCCTGTCGGCCAAACGCTCAGCAGCGCGGCGAGGCGGGACTCGGCGCCGTCTGCCCTGTCGGCTCCGTCGGGACTCAAGGCGACCGCGTGCTTTCTGTACGGGCTTCACCATCGCCTTTCATCGCCT